TCTATAACCCTTTTTTAATAATAATATGTTACATGTTATTATTTAAATAAAGTTGTTATATATAAGTTCTACATAATATCGAATATGTTTTAAGATGTTTGAAAACGGGATGGAATTTTTGATTTTCAGAGTCTGGACATTTCGGTTCTCTTCGCTTGCTCTCTCCAGGAATTCGGAATTACTATTGTAAGTCTAAAATATCATCAAGGAAGCTTAGCAATACCTCCTTAATAAAATTATAAACTAGGGAAAACCATAATTTGGTATGCACGTTCACACGAGTTCGATTATCTGATCATGAAATCTGACCTCATTTCTGTGAAATGTCGGCTTCACGGGTGGTCGACGGTTTTTCGTAATTTTCTCAAAAACGTAAAAACTCTAGAACCTAAAACTTATATCACGATTCTTAGCATACTATAGGTTATCTCTGGACGAAATTTCAAGGGATCCATTCTTCCGACCTTGTGCCGCCCCTCACGCGGTGGTTAGATAGGGTGACTCTTAATTAGTGCGGAACCCATGATAAGTGTTCAATAAAACTATACTTAAAATGAATAAAAAGATAAACACATCAGTTAGATAAAATATGTGTTTGTGACCTTGTTTATCAAATTCATATGTAAAAAGTAATTAAGTAAATACATGCAAATTATGGAATTAAAGATCTAGAATGATCCAGTGGTGTTATCTGGTCGATTATTGTTGTGTATTCATTTAGTGGAGACACACACTCCTCAATTGCTTAGTACTATCCTCTCTTTATTCGTTGATCAAGTATCTTATAAGCTGGTAGAATAGTCTTACTTAGTAACAGTACTTTTGCATCACTCAGTAATCTTACAGTAATATCACTAACACTAGTACAAGTACTTTTACTGTGCTCTCGATAAATTACAACTATCTCATCGGTTCAAAATGCATCCGAACCAGGTTATCCAAAAGGCCACAGACCGTATGTACATTATATCATAGCTGAAAAATAGACACAAGCAGATGTATAAAGGAAAAAGTTAGGTTTCGTAGACAGTGGCTGACCCTGACGACCTCAATCCCCTCGGCAAAGCTTTCGAGAACTTGCCAAAAATACCCACCACAATAAACCCATGCTCTACAATTTGCGTCTCCTTCTATTTATCTAAAGCTAAAAAGTAAGGGGGCAGTAAGAGCTTGCATAGCTTTTCTCATTCTAAATTTCTCTATTCCATATGCTTGTTCTTGTTTTAGAAAAAAACTAGACGCCCGAGAAACGTGCACTCAGGCATCTTTTATATCCATGGCATTCACACCAAGCACGAGTACAATTATAACATAGCTTGTAAACTCGTGCAGTCAAATTCAATAGGCTATTTTCGAATTGTTAGTGCGAGAAAGTCTGGTAACTAATTAAGAGCTCCAAGTCGATATGAAGTTTTGTGCGATCGCTGTTTGCTAAAGCTACTCTAAAAAACTGCCGGATCTCAACTTTTTCGAGTCTCCAGGCAAAGAGAGACTTAAAAAGAAATGGATTGCCTTTTGTCGTTGGAATGATAAGGAGTTTATGTCAATCAAGAACTTACACATATGCTCTGAACACTTTGAGACGAAACATTTCGTAAGAAACTTTCTGGGATCAAAAAAGTAGTACAAGGGACGGTTCCAACAATTTTTAATCCACATTCAGACCCTAGATGTCCGAATCAACG